TTATTTACATGTCTAACATTACAATCAAAGCCACTAGACACTAACCTAAAGCATACTAATTGGACCCTTCCTCAATTATTCTTTCAATAAATAATGTTATTTCTAATCAATTATTTAACTGAAAACTATGAGTAACAGAAAGCACATTGCTCATCTGATACCTTATAGATGTTTACTATTAACAAGTACAAGAAATCCAACAGAGTGCAGACACATAACCTTTGTGTGTAGTATAGCATGAGGGTATACCTTCTTATATTAATATAGTATTATTCTATACTTATCGGTTATTTCTGAGCATGTGCAGTTTTCACACATCATGGTTAACAAAGTTGATTTCATTCCAGTCATTTTTGTTAATTTATCATTTTATTGAGGTCACACTTGTTCTTCCCATGGGTGGTATGGCTGTAATGCTGCACATCATCTGTCCTTCAATGATAGGTAAGGTGATATATCAAGGTTATAATAACCTCTCTTATGTTTCAAAGGGACTGACCAACAGTGACAATATGTGGTGCATGCTTCCTGAAAACAGTGTTATAAAATTTGGTATATAATACTATGATCTTCTAGTTTATGTTCTCTCTCTTCAGTTCAAGCCCTCAATTTGGTAAGTGAAGTTGAAGTCCTTTCTTCATAAATAGTAATACTCTCCTAGAGTTTAATCTGTAACATTAACTAATTCTTTCTAAACATCTTTTAAGTTCTTAAGAGAGTTTGGAGAGGTAACTGTAAAGTTATTGTCCTTCATTCTATACTCACATTATTTTGTTTGTGTTTGTGAGTTTGAATGAAAATGTTTCATTGAATTTTTGTACATTTGTGATCAGGCTCTTTTTTTTCTCAAACTCGATCAAAGTAAGATAACTCAGAATTACCCATCATTCTAAGGGAAATCCATTTCAGCTGATTTCCATAATTGAAAGCCAAAAGAGTTTACGTCTACATATGACTGACATTACTACTTTATAGCCATTTGAGCTTCATATTAATGTCCTTAATTCATAATATAATTCCAGTATAGTTATATAATCCACCCCTCATATGAAAAGCAAGAAACTTTCAAATTTTTATTTGATATCAAAATCTATCATAAGATCAAGTTACACGAAGCATTAACAAAACTTAGGTAAAAAATGTATTACAAAACATCACAGCTGTACCAAGGTTTTTTTACTTCTTTGTTGAATTTTCAGCTAAGGCTTGATTTGGTTTGTTTTAAATTTTGCACAAAGCTACACAAGGGCTATCTGTGCTAGCCGTACCTAATTTAGCAGTGATAGACTACAGGGAATGCAGCTAGTCAACATTATCCAGCTCTTGAGCTACTCTTTACCAACAAATAGTAGGATTTACCATAACATTATAATTACCCTGACACTTGAAAGGGAAAGCATGTTGGACAACAGGTTTTGATGCTGGGACCCACAGATTGCAAATGAATTGCCCAATACACTAGATGATACCAGGCCCCTGCCTCAGTAAAGTATTGACAATGAATTCAATAACCTGTTATAAGTACATTTTCAGCCTGTAATGCATTGTTATGGATTATTCTAAATCAGAGTAAACTGTAGTTACTTAGCTGCAAAGGTGATATCAAACAGTAGAATAATTCTCATATTAGTGATCTGAAATACAGGGGTGTATGAGATAAACAGTACAAATAACTTTTTTATGTTTAGATGTTAATGTTTATGTTAATGGAAGGAATAATATTAGTTACTTTTCATTGTTTCGCACCTACATTAGTACTCTTTTACTTTTTAAATCGAAAGTAAATTTCAGTTTATAAATTTTAATAAATATGTAAATGATGTATCAAACATGATTTTCCTTTAAGTACTTGTTGAAACCAATATCAAAAACAAGTCAGAAAATGTCTTCATACAAGCTTTATCAACACTGAGGTTTTAGTTTAATTTTTATCTTGCTAATTCTGCACATGCGCATTAAGCAATCTGTTTGGCATACACTTAATTATATTAATTTCAAGACTTAAATTTTTAAAAAGTAAGGAATAATCACAACAATTATTTTACAGGACAAGACAAAGAAAAGAACTGTGACAAGTAACATAACGTGTTATCTTTTTTTATCAAATAATATGTAAGGGCATTATGTTACTCTTTTTTTTCAGTAACATGCTTAACACTATTCACCTTGATCAAAAAGTTTTATCAAAGGATTGAAGAACATTAATGTTCATTCTAAATATTTGCTGTACAATACAATTTTGTTCATTACTCTCCAGCCTTATAGCTAGGAAGCTTAATTAAATATGTACGGGTTGCAGGTTCAAAACTCATTGCCGATTATACTCACCTTTTCAGCTATGGGATGTAATAATGTGATGAGTAATGGTAAAGAGTAGCCCAAAAGTACACAGTGGGTTATGTTGCCTAGCTGCCTTTCCTTTAGTCTGCTACTTCAAACTTAAGAACAGCTAGAGCAGGTGGCCCTTGAGAAGCTCCAGACAGAATTAAACAATCATGCCTACCTTCAGCTTACAAAGCAAATCATCTTATTTCAGCTTCAACTTTGCATTACTAGTATCCATAAATAGATACAATTAACAGAGATCAAGAAACCATAATAATACTGCTGAAAAAAAAAATCATTCCTCCTCTGATATATCACTTTAATGTAGTTTATTTTCACTTGAGACCTAATGTTTCATTCTCTATTAAAGTTGCTGAAAGATATTTGTACATTAATTTGATCAGAAAATTAATGGTTGTTCTTATACTACTTGTAATTAAAAGTTCACAATGTGAACTTGGTATTATCAAATCAGCCTCCCTTGAGTTAAAAGCTTCTTATACAACAGTTCTAACCCATCAGGTATATTCAGTAATGTTATTTCACACCATAAATATATTTCCTGCTAAATTTAGTAACATGAAAGTCATATCAGTTATTGCAACCTTTCAACCTAGCTTTTAAACTGGTATGATTTCTATGATAAATTTTTGTAGTTTTGTCCATTAGGACTTTAATAACAGACTGTTGTGAAGCACAAAGATACACAATGGGCTATCTGTATTCTACCTACTGTGGGTATCGAAACCCAACTTTTAGTGTTATAAGCCTTCAGATTTACCACTGAGCCACCAGAAGGCTATAATAAAAGACCTGTTAATCAAGAAAACACAGGAGCATTATTTTTAGCTTGTTTTTCATACTTGGCATGGAACACTAGAACTGTGTAAAATTTACAATTACTTATTAAAAAGATATTGTACTTAAAAATTTTAATAACATTATCTGAAAGATAATACTTTGGCTTGCATCCCATTTTATTACCCAATTATATGTAGCTTGATCATGGCAAGATTACTATAGTATATAATCAAAACAGCACTATATTTGCAATCAAATAAAGTTTCTTCAAAAATCAGAATGAAAGAACTGCAGTCAGTTGTGAAGTGATGAACTTTCAGTATGGTCAAAACACAAGTCAACTAAAGCAATATGTTTTATATATTTCAAATATACTGAAGTCATATAGAATTTCAATGTGGTGTTAAAACTACAAAATACTATTGGTCTCTTTTTCAACCTTATGTACATTAGCTAAAGACTGAGTAGGGAAATCACAAAACATAAACAAATGTTGTAATTATACTATTAGTGTTTAAGTCAGAAGTCTTAAATAGGTAGCATATGTGATCACTACAATTATTTATTTGTAAATTCTACAAAGCATTATAAATAAATATATTTTTAACAACTATTTCCAGTACATGAAATGTTCAACATAAAATAGAATCTGAACTGAATAACATATTTAATATTTACTTAATGTTGTAAAAAAAAAATTATTTCCACATATTAAACAAAAAGTAAATCAAAGAGTACTTATAATTTCACCTTCAGTATTTCCATTTCATGGCAATTGGATCACCTACAAAATAATGAGTTGGAATTAATCTAGTGAAAATTTCAAAATACCATATGAAGTACAGAGAAAGGAATGGATATAATGTTATATATATCTGGAATACAAAATACAAATTATGTTTAACATCAAACACTATTCAACCCCCCTAAAAAAGATGTTGCCTTCACTTATATGTCTTTTAATAGTCAACTTTTTTTTTGTCATTCAAGATCCCTACAAAAAAATAACAAAACATTTCATTGTAACAATGTAAATAACTGAAACAATAAATATTAAGCAGGAAAAACCAATGAAGCCACAATTTTACCATTAGCCACATTAGGTGTGCATTAAATTCCTGCTTTTTAATTTTCCAATTATCGAAATTTTAAATGATAGCACAATAATGGTAAATTTTTGGATAGTCTCAATTCTATTTTAGAACCAATAACACTTTTGGATTAGTTTAATTCTTAACGTACAACATCTGTATGTCAATACATCATTTATCTTATTACGTGGATGTAAATAAACAATATACTGATTCCAACAGTTATAAGACAATCAAAAATTATCCAAATACAATTTATCATAAGCCAAAATAAGATATCTAGTATAACATTTAACACAATAATTCTGTTTTTTTATTAGATTCTTTTTCAATGAAACATAGGTCATGATATGAAAGTACATGTAAAGCATGAACAACAGTGACAAAAAGAATACATATATATTTTTATACAGAAATGCCAGCAATACTGTTCACAAAATGAATACAAGAAGGAAAATCCCCAACCAGATAGAATAATTCAGAAGAGATCACACTACATAAAAACATAGGATAAAATGAATCCAAGAAATGCCAATCAATCAGTCTACTCTCTAACACTTACACATTAAAAATAGTCATCAACAGCCTGACATCTGAGCATGTTAGTAATCAACCACGTAAATAGGTAGACTTTAGAAGTATACACTTAACAATGGATCATCTTCAAACAAAACAAGGGAGGACAAACTGCCCCTATGCCTTGATAAGTCATTTAACTCAATAAAAATCAATGCAATCATACAAACTCTACAATGACTAAGATAAACACACAATACATCAATATTATAACTGAAATATATACAGGTGGAACAACAACATTCAAATACATAAAAGTCAGTGGTAAGATCAGAGGAGTAAAAGAAGGTGAAACTATCTCTCTAAAACTATTAATAAATAAATAAACTTAGTAATCCAAAAACTGTTTAATCTTGAAGTCTAAGTTCAAGGGAGGTCCAGTTCAATCTATACTTTGATCAACACGTGTTATTGAGTTATTCTTCACCTATCCAGTGTATAGGTTTTTCTCATAGTGATTACAAAGCATGTTTACACCAACAGTATGTTTGATATTCTGTGCATGTCTACAAGTTTTCTACCAGTTTCAATGAAACGATAAAGGAGTTACTGTTCATAGTGAGACTAAACCATCTTTGACCTTAAGATATTGTTCTGATCTGAAATGATGCCAAAGAACTGAAAACTATGATGACTAAGCTAAATCTATAAAGTGGGAATGGGAAATTGAAGATGAACCTGTATAAGACTAAAACAATGTTTATCAAATAGCACCATTTCCAAGATGAACCAGTACAGCTACTTAGTCAACTTGTGAAAATGGATTCAAACCATTTAAAAAAGTGAAATGACATATAATAACTGGAAGGAGTACCATTGGGAAGCTGAAAACATCTCCAATAGCAAATTGCCTATGTGTTTATATGCAAAGTTTACACTCAACTTGTAACACCAGCAATTACATATAGCAGCAAAACCTGGTCCTTGACAAAGAGAATGGAGTAGAAACTTGCCAAAATACAACACAAAGAATTTTAGAAAGAAACTGTTTTGGTATCAGCAGAAGAGACAAGAAATGACTGTATCAGAGAGGAAACTAAATTTAAAACATCTTACCATCAAACTGAGGAGAAGAATGTAAGTGGAATTAGGTAGGACATTTGGTATACATTTAATGACTGAAATACTCATAAATTTTATTCTTTCATAATTAGTAGGGAATATATTTTTATTCAGATAGGCGTATTCACGTAATATATTTCTAAATTTCTATGCAGTTTGTGCATATAATTAATCATCATTGTTGACTGGATGTGTCAAAGTCGTATAAACACATTCTAATTCTTCTGCACAGGAAAAGGCTACATACTGCAATCTTTATTCTTACGTCTTAACCCTCAACTGGTAAAGTAAAATATTAGTATCATGAGTGGTATTGTGGGTCAAAATGCCTTATGTATAATAACTTAAAGAATATTATATTTATAATACTGTGGGGTTCAGAATGAACCACAAATGACAAACAAATGATTACAATATTAAGAAAGAAAACTGCAGTAGCACATCCACTCTGCTTAAGAACTGACTGAGGATAGAGTACAGACCTATAGGGATACAACAGAACATATGTGGAATGGTAAAGAGTCCTGTGAACATGAATTGCAAACACAAAAAAAATGTCGAAGTCTGCAAACACCAAAACTGTCTTAGGAGAAAGGTGATATAGGGAGCATGACACCAAAGGTTCAAAGGGTGGATGCAATAAGACATGGAGAACCACTGTGATATCCCAATTAGGAACCTAGAAAGGATATTGAGGACGGATAACCTGAAGAGATTTCAGAAGCAAGGACAAAACCTGGGGACTCAAAAACTTTGTCTCCCAAAAAAAAACAAAAAAATTGCTGACAGAGCTGCCTTATACAGAGAAACAGACAAAAGTGCCAAACCTTTGTCGATTAACCATGTCAGAAATTGAGAAACATGCGGCACAGTGAGACGAGAAGAATTAAAACCATGTCCAAGAAACCACTGACGATAAGTAAACTATTTCCATTGATAAATGTACAATGAAAAATGCCAAATGGACCATGTCTATAAAGGTGCCACTCAAGAGGTCAATCCCTGACTTTGTGCAATGGCTTGCAAAAAAGCCAGGCATGAAGCTGAGAATCTAAATATGGGTTCTCCAAGCAATGTAAAACTAAGGCATGCTTATCTGATAAATGGGGAGAACAAGGCATGGCAGCACCCTCTCTTAATTGGTCAGCAATGTCTGGGAAAGGTGGAAAGACTAGGTAATCAACTAAATGACTCTCCTCTCAACAAAGAAGGAGGAGAGTTGTAAGCTAAAGGAGGAATGCTCAAAACATTATAAGCCAGATATACTAGTTGCAGAAATGAGGCAGGATGTCTGTCCAAGACTTGTGATTAGCTGTCTGAGTAATTTTGCACCAGTCCACCCTTGATCCCCTGCAAGCTCAGCCTCTGAGCCAAAAGGAGAAGAAATATCAGACCTCATGTAAAACTTCACCTCTCTGCATATGATGGATTGGATGTCCTCTGTGGAAAGACCCCCCCCCTGACACGTGGGTAATTCGAGGCACCGGAGGTGTCAAAGTAGGAGCACTAGGAGACTCCATATCAGAGAAGTGAAGTTGTGAATTCAAATCAGAAACATCACAAGATGGGATAGGAGGCGATTTGATGTAGGTGGAGAGAATCACAAGATTGAACTAGCTTTGGGCAATATAGTGGGATATAAAGGCTGGAGCAAGCAAGGTAATATTCATACCAATGCTTAAATGGGCAGAGAAGAGAAAATTTCATCGGTATAAAGCTACAGTGTAGAGAAGAGATAAGTGTGTTTTGGAATTTAAGGCATTAGTATATATTAACTTTTTGTTTTTATAAATGAAATATTTATGTCACAAATCTTTATTAACATAAACTTAAACATCCATATTTTAACCCACACATACATAATTTCAGCTAAACTATTAAGACAATGTATGGTACATTACATACCTGAACAACCCTCAAGAAATAGTGGCAGCTGAGTAGACCTAGAGGTGAGAATAATATCTTGTTCCCAAGTGACATTTGTGTATGACACTATGCAACACACTGGAGGTTTGCCAGTGCATTCTCTGTTACTCTGAAAAAAAAAGTTAAATTAGACAATACACCTTGTTAACAACTAGAAATATACTGTACTTGCTACAGTAAGGCAGAACTTGGAAACAGACTTTATAGAAAAGAAAAAAAAATATGAAATTACCTTGTGTTCTTTTCTTGATTGTAAAAACTGAGCTTACTTTTTACAGAGGGCCAAGTGTATTAAATGTTGTTAGTGTTTACTTATCATATTTCTTAACACATCATATATCCAAGTTCACTACTGTATACAGCCTAGAATTTCAAACCATTTGCATTTGTCTTGAAGATCAAAAACATTATTCTCATAAACTGATTTGTCCACTGTACTATGCAAAGTCAGTTTTGGTTTAGTTATGACAATGAAGATAAAGTACAGGGCTAGTATATTCAAAAGTTAATTAAAACTTGCAAATGATATTTTCTGGTCTCGAATTTGGACATTTTACAACAGAAAAGTCCAAACAACTTAATTTTAGAAAAAACTGTATGAAAAACCCTATTAATGCTGAATGGCATTTTAAAAGAACTTCAAATAATACTAAAGAATACTTGTTAGAAAACATTTGCCCCTTTATTATCTTTGATTCCTTAAACTTGTTTTTTCAAGAAATATCAGGATATAAACACGAATACCTCACAATGATTATACAAACTTTACACATCAGATTTTAGTAGAAATTCAAAAATCTGTACTAAATATAAAAGTTAATGCTTCTAACAGTCCACCCTTTCTGTGTTATGACAGCTAATTTTAATAACAAATTGGTAAACAATGATTTGTAAGTGTAATAAAGTGGCTTATTTTGAGAGGAATATACCACGTGTTTCGACAGAATATTATTTGGCCTTCTTCAGGTACAACAACAAAATTAAATAAAACATACATGATTAATGAATGGTTATAATGGTTAATGACATAACTAAGGTGAAATCTTGAACATTTGGATCATATTTGTAGAAATTAAAAAACAGTTTCATCCTTTGTATCATTGGTAATTCTTTCTTTTTCTCCATTTTTTCTTCTTAGTTGTAGAGTTAAGAGTAGATTGTATCCTTTCTAATTAAATTTATGCATATATTTATAGACTAATCAATATAACTTAACATTACTAGGTATATATTCAATGTAGCCTAACAGATAAAAATATAAAAATTAAATACCAACCAAAATATTCGTTGACTGATACGTTTCTGCTTCATCAGAGTCTATATTATGAGAAATCCTTGGAAAGAGGAAATTTTCTTCACTGACAGGCTCAACCTCAGACAACTCTGGCTGAAAATTTGAACAAATAATTACAAATTTACACAATATATTTTTATTTTTGGTTAGGCCTAAAAGTTTACCAACAATTTAGATGTTGATTCAGGATGTAGAAAAAACTACAAATATCTATACACAATTAATAATGATTAAATATAAATTATAGTTTGTTTCAGTAAATATGCATTCTTAAGTGTAGTTTAAGGTTTTTTTTTGTAATTTCTTAGACATGTATACAATAATGTTAATCATATTTTTTTAATATATCACAAATAAACTGATATAATGTATAACAAAAACTAACCCAGCTGTCAAAACCAGATTTTAAATGCTGATCTTTAATTGGTGTACTGGTGCTTTTCACAAAATTGTAGTTTGGTGTGGTTTTATTTTCTGACACCTAAAATTTAAGAAAGATTAATTACAACAATATAATCTGAAAAAAAAACCAGACATTCATTATTACCGCTGGTAATGCTTTTACAAGTACTCATATTACATTATTTTCTAATAACCTGTTTCATTTAACTCATCTGGTTGACTACATACAATTTATGCTATGGTTTTTGTTTGATATTAAGTAGAAAGCCATTCATTGGGCTATCTGTGCTCTGTCCACCACAGGGAATCAAAACTCAGATTTTAATAGTTTAAGTTGGTAAACTTACTGTACTTGTGCTATGGAATAATAGGTTAAAAATCATGTATTTAAATTTTATAAACATAAAACATTAACTGAATAGTATTGAATCTAAGTGATGGTTTTTCCCCTTCATGATGTATCGGGGTGAAACTACATAACAGTGCTCAATAAATAACAAATATAAGAAAAGAATCGTCTTAATGTCCATTACAAATAGTAAAAATACATAACAAAAATTCTAATAATTAAAGTTATATAGCTGTAAAATGTAGGACGTCCATTATTCAGCAGCTAGCACTTTCTCCAACTTACTAAATTAACAAATCTTATATAACAAAACAAAATAGTCATTCAAAAGTAAAGCTGTTGAAGGTATTGAAACAAGGTTCTGTCATAAAAACTATTCATTTCTTGGAACTTATGTGTTACTAATATTCTGTTATAGTTGTAATTCAGTACTTTAGCCCATTAATATAAGAAACAATTTATCACAATATGTAATATCTGAAACCTGATTTTGTATTTTCACTATACAGGCCAATTTACATCTTTCCCAAATCAGTCAATACATTGAAGCACTGTAATGAACACCTTGACGGAGAAACATTAACACTGATCAGAAGCATCACTAGACACTAGCACACAGAGCCTGTGCTTTGAATCCCCATTTGGTGTCTTGAAAAATCAGAATAGAAACCATGATGGATATCATACTGAAAGGCCGAATATTCCCACACCCATGGGTCCAAACCTCAAGTCTTTTAAGTACCTAGTGTTGCCTCTGACTCTGATGTTGTCTCAAATACTTTGGTAGTGTTTGCTTATATATTAACTATTCTGTCTTTACTTTGATCAAAATGTTAGAACATTCTTTTTCGTATCATCATATAAAATTCCCAAAATACGTAACTCTGGGGATAAACCACATTTACTGGTACTTAATTTAACCCACTGTAGTTTTGCTCTATTTTAGTCATTGTGTTTTAACAGAAAAACAAAATGAACTTCAATTTAATGCATATTTGTCTCCAATAGGTATTGGATAGTTAAGTATGAATCTTTCGAAAACCAGAAATCTTGGAAAGGAAAAAATATATATTTGTAATGATCAATACTGCTTCTAACAGCAAAAAAAGAAAACATTTGATAAACAAAAATGACCTTCAATTCTCTGAAAAACAGAGGCTTTCAATATTTGTGTTAATTTCTTCTATAACTGCATGTACATTACTAGTTAATATTGATGATATTAAAGTCAACATTTTAGAACTGTAATAAGTTCACTAATGTGCTTTTCTTTATATCATTTGGAGCTATTTCCACTTGTCTTATGCCCTCTACTGTTAGAACATCTAGTCCAATCACCACTTTTTATACTTATTTATACTATATTTTGTCGATATCTTCATCATCTTTAGTTAATCTTATAAGCTACCAGTATGGGTAGAAAATCAAATGATGCAAAATCAGAAGTATCACTTTTAATTTCATTTTGATTATAAAATGTTAATTTCCAATATGATACTTCTTCATCAGTAAATTAGTATCCATACACTGGAGGTAGGAAAGAAAGAAGAACAGAGGTTCCTGCCACTCCTGGGAAAAAAGGAAACAGATGTAATTTATATTGGACTTCAACACTGTAGTATGGAATTCAAGAAAATAAATAACCATTTCCAACATCACAAGTTCACACAGAGGAGCTTTGAACATGACAAAAATAACAATGGCCAACAAGTCATTTTCATGAGATATAATAATAGGTGGGCTAGATAGCTCTGATTCCAATTTTGTGTTTGGTTTTCCTCTAGCACATTCAGTTTTCGTGATGAAACCAATCAAATTTGAAAGGTTATTGCCTTAATTATAATTTAAGCTGCTGTACATTTCTTTTTTCATAAGAATGTACTGCATAAATTTAATCAAGTATATAGTGTGTATAATGTTAGACGAAATTATACTGAAAAATTAATAAAGTTGTTACATTAACTAGCCTAATGTGTGATTATGACCTAAATTGTGCTGAAATTAACACCAGTAATATTTCGATACCAAAAGGGCTAGAAGAAAACTAGAAACAGATTTTGAATCAGCACACAAAACTGGTCTAGAAAAGTGTGTTTACATCTTTGATGTGAGAAAAAAAAAAGTTTGATTTTGTCGACCAGCGTAATGTGAAAGTACTTCCATATGTTTGTTTTTTCAAAGATCTTCAAGGAAATTTTTAGAAACTGCAGCCAAAGACAACACAAGATGCCATACGAACAAATAAATGTCTGCAGAAATTACAAGCTATATGTAATCACAAAAGCACAACCATCACTGAATACAAAGAACAAACTGCATCTGTAAGGTTTTCACTTTGTAGGAAACGGGTTAAAACACTCTCAAAAGTAAAGTGATTTTAAGAAACAAAGTGTGGTACAGCATCCCATAGGTTCTCTCCTCTATCTCTATATGGAGCTGGGTTAGGTCGTCTTTGCCATTGAGATGAATACAGCCACGGATCTAATGCTCTCTGTGGGTCATATTCAGCAATTGGTGGTATATGAAGATGTATTCTTTCAGGTCAGTAAGCCTTACCTTGGGATCTGTTTTGGCAATCTGACTGTATTCTCTTCATAAGACAGAAGCCTCATTAACAGTAATGTTTTTGAAATGGTTACTTAACTTCTCTTCAAGATCATTCAGAACTTTGTTCTTGTCACTTTCAAACTCAGTACATACCTATGGGACATCTAGCATACCTCTCATCTTTCCTTTAGATATTTTGTGTAGTGGTTCTCAGATGGTATTCTATGATCAACTATACCAGTAACTTATTGTTGAAAGGACAATGAGGATCTAGACATCATGTCCAGTAGGGCAAGTAGAAACTGTGCTGTCAGCTTGACCTAGAAGTGGACATTAGTTTCAAAAACTCCTTAGCTTTGGGTTTTGTGTCAGTGTTGATCTGATCACAGCAGTTAGGGTTCAGCACCTGTTGCAGGTGAAGAGATGTGCCTTGGAAACCTCCAGAAAAGTTAAGGTATAACCAACCCATCTGGTGTCCACAATTTCAGTGTGCTATTCTTTCTGCTTCAGTTTCTTTATAGATGATGACTCTACACTACTTGAATAATGCCACATCTTACACCTCAGCTTATGCTAAGAATTATTATTCTGAAAGTCACCACTAAAGAATGATCACATATTCATGCAATCAAACATCTTTGCCCCAATTCTAAAAACATGCAAAAATCTATTAGCTGAGTGGCTTGCCTTACAGAAAGAGTGGTAATATTGTTCTATAGGTCATTCATATACAAGTTGTTGTGTTGTGTAGTAAGGCAGAAAGCCACTACAAATGATTTAACCAATCAATGTTTCAAAAGCTCTTTGGCAAAGATAATCAGATTTTTTTCTTGTTTTTCCACAATAAACCTTACAATCTTTCTTATAAACTCTTAATAAGAGCCATTCATACTCCTGAGCAATTATTAACTTCATACATTGGAGAACATTGACAGTCCTAGTGAAAACACAGAGTGCTGATACCATAACAATGATGAAAACATAGTTTTGAAAAATCAGTTCCAATGACCAAAATGATTGTGATGATGATTAATAAGTGGGAGCAGGAAAAAAACCTCTGAAATATCTATTTTAGAAATCAATTATCTCCAAAAGGAGTTCTAACATTACCAAACACGTTCAATCTCCAAATAACAAGCCATTCAAAAATTACACTCTGATCCCTTGTATACTTCAAAAAAGAAAACTTAGTCTGGAACCATAGCTTCCTTTATACCTTTTACAGCCAAAATTAAAAGATCTACCTGATGTACAAGTGTTGAAAAAAGGAGGAGGAAGATTGCAATACTCATTGAGTTCTAGATACTCCCAGAAAGCTGCTAAATCCTAACATCCTTTCAAAGATCCACAAACTTACAAATATTCCATCTAGAGGTTCCATAAAATTTGTGACCATAGGAGTAGTGAAAAAAGTATTGTCTCATGATGGAGTTATCTCTGAAGAAAACTTTGCATCTTACCAAATAATTGGCCTCAATACAAAAAGGTCTGAATTTTACCCTACTGAGAACAAAACTAGATTAAACATAAGAGCTGCTAAACATGGGAGAGAGTGCTACTGTTGAAGTATAATGAAGCAATAAACTAACCTTTAGTTCTAATACATTAGTAACACGTGCAAACACATCAACATATAACACAATGAAAGGAAGTACTCTGTCATAATTAAATGTAAACTTGATAAATCCGATAAACAGAGTACAAGTTTACTTTTACATCAACATATAGTTCTCAGAGAAAAGCATTGAAAAATGAAACCCATTACAACATAGCACAGAGACTCAGAATATAACCAAGGATACAAAATACAGCTTCAGAAAACACCATTGTTGAGCAACTTGTTTTCTTGCTGGGATAGTACATCTTTTTTTTTACAAATTATGAAATATAATGATTTCTCAATGAAATTTCTTCAGATATTTCAATTGCTAAAATAACATACTGTAACTATTATGCTTGGAATCATACATTCTAAGGTTTATAATTCGAGTTCAGGCTAGTGTTCCAGCCCACCATTTTTTACTTTGTCTCAAAAAAACTGCCATTAATATAAGATACTAAACTATAATATTTTGAAATATTCATAAACACATACATAGATAATTCTTCTGGATTAAAAAAAAAGAGAAAGACTGACAATTACAAACGAAGACTAATGTTTTTAATGAAAGTTTTTTATATAGGCATACATACCCCCCCCCCCCCCCAAATTATCCATAGCATAATTAACATATTCTTAGGCTCTCTGCAACGTTTAACCATGCACGTTACATAATATTTGCTTTTCTTTTTGTTAGAATACAGCAATTTTAAAGTACGGTCTTTTATTTAAAACATTTATGCACATCATGGAAGTGAATGAGAGTCATTGCTGAGATTGCCTGCAGTATGAAATAAAATTTGGCTCTTGCTCATTTAATTTGTTTTAAGTTTGTCCTCATAAGATACCTAGAAATTACTTTGAAAACTAAGCTTACTCTTAATATTGCATTATTCTTGTGGGCTTAAGGAAATCCATGTTCAACATACTTTTTCATCTCTAGAAAGATTTAGGGTTATAATTATTTTAAAAAGATAAAGATAAAATATTCCAAAACTCTAGGATATATGTGGTATTAAGTACAGGTTAATTTAGGTTAACACAGTATATCTGTTGCAAAGAATTAGCTGTGTGGTGAATACATACTTTTCTAATCATTTTTCTTGTTAATGTTATCAGATATATCTTTGTATACATGATATTTCAACTAAAGAATTTCTGTTTTGTGTTTACCTCTACATTATAGATAAGCAACCTGACATTCTCAGGTATACAAAACTTACACCAGGCCTTAAACAGAAAATAAAAATAAAAAACAATAAATCCATATACATCTAATCAAACTTAAGTTGGATTGGTTTATAATGGCTTTCCCTTAATGTATCCAAGTTTCTGTTATACAATTTTGATAATTCTGTTATATACTCCAAGCAACTTGAAGACTTGCAAATAAAATAACTAATCCTTCATAATTTCAAAAGTACTAGTATGTTTCAGATAGCAGATATCAGGTTCAATTCTTTTACTGTCAAACATATAAATGATTAGTAATAACTGAATATAACAGTGTACAAAGACAATGTAGTGTATGTGTTAAATGCAATGTGTAATACCTTAAAAGAGTACATTAATTTCTTCTCCTCACCTTTGGTACTTTTACAGTGTTCCTTTCTGGTTTAACTTTTCTTTTTTTTATGGTTTCTGTTTCTTTTCTCGAGGTTTGCAAAGCATTCTTTATTTTTTGTTTTGCAAAGTTTTTCCCACTCTGTCTCAATTTAATTTTTGCAAAGGTTCTAGACCTCATATTTGAGTCTCGATGTTTACTATTTTTCTTTGAAGTTCTTTCCTGCTTTTCTCGTGGTTGAGGTTTATTATTCTTGAAATTTTGAACAAGTGTTTTACTATGAGTATAATAAATCTCGCTGTCTGCCTGTTGTTTTGATGATCTTATCACTGGTTTTGTTTTCCCAGAGCTATCTGTTGACACAACATGACTACCAAGCACACTGTTGTGAGAAGTATCTTGCTGTGGATGTGTAGATGTGACTAGAAACACATAAAAGTGCAGTTGTATGGTAAATGTAAAAATGTATTTCTATTTACGAATTATATTACAATATCTTAAAATATTCTGTTTGCTAGATTATCACTAGAAGAAATAGTGTACTGTAATGAAAGAAAACTAACTATTCACAATATTTGTATTTTATATGTAGATCACTTACATTTAGTGTACTAATATTTTAATATGAAATTTCTACTATTTTGTGTTTATTACATAGTATTTAGTCAAAAATACATATATTTTTTGCAAAAAATATAATAGCAGCACTAGTTAATTTACCTGTCTTCAAAGGAAGGGTGGCATTACACCTAGAAATAAATACAACCAAAAATAACTTAAGAAAAATGTTCTATCAATATGATTTTACAGGTTGGTATAAATCTTAATTTTATGTAACTGTTTACCTTGTTCTTTAATATCTTCTGTAAACACACAGTCATCATACAACAGTGAAGTCTGTTTTGGCTCCCTTGCTCTTTGTGTTTGTCCATCAACTGAATTTTGTTTTGAAGGCCTGTAAAGTAGGTTTGTATTCAATGTGTGTATTAAATACGAGACAGAAGTAACACAAATCTAATATTGCATGTTGGAAAGCAGTGACATTTGTGTGCAGTATTTATAGATATTGCTTGTATTAGTAAAACTTTTATTTTATTTAAGCACTGTCTCATAAATGAGACAAAAATGTTGTATAAGAGTAGGTTTTTTTTTCCAGTAAATTAAAATAAATTACAGTGTTAGCATAAAAATGAGAGATTGACCAGGATATAATAAATTCATCAGATAACATGTTGTTAAGTACATTTATGTGCTAATTTCTTTCAACAGTTTTTCAAAATTATTTTTGCTTAAGAAGGAAAAGATTGTTAGAGACAGGAAGTATAGAGATTATTTGAGACAATGTAATTTAAAACTTAATTGGTTGAATTTTGCAAGGAAGACAAAACTAAACAGTTAAGAGAGAAAAAAAAATGTAGCATTGTATTCTCAATACTATTCCATAAATAAAACAGCTACTGTACAGAGAATTATAGAAACAGTCATAGATATTTGAGAAAATGGGCATATATCAGAGGTAAAGAATTTGTTACAGAAAGCTCAGACTTTAATAAATGGGTTAACCATCTACATATGTGCTCATTCAATCTGTCCGACCTTTTATTCATTAAACTATACATACTATAACTCTGAATGTACTATGTGTATCTTCACAAAATTTGGCAAGCTTTTAGTAAACATTACAAGTCTATTGTACTCAAATAATCAATTTTTTTTTAAATAAAGTATTGTTTCTAAAGATATGTCTGTGAATTTACATAGCCTTTACTGAGTCAGTCCAAATGAAAGGTGATTTTCACAAGCAGTGTGTAACCTGCATGATCTCTGCATTTGTGGGTATAACTGTGCTAGCTTTACTTTTTTTTCACTAAGATGGTTGTCTAAATAAAAATTTATGTAGCTGTCAAATAAGCATTTTAGAACACAAAAATATATCATTCACTAGAATAGAATGTCCCAAAACTAATGTAATTTATACTGCTTTCTGAGTAAGCTATGAATAGATTTAAAAAAAGGTTTTAGACACTTGGAGCACTAGATTAGGTACATTCACAAACTATGAATTCTATTGACGTTTCTCCTAGTAAATGAAAGGAAAAGTCATAAGGTTTACATAGAAGAGTATCTGCTCTTTCTATTGGTTTCAAACATGTCCATTGGCAATACAGGTAATTAGATAATGATCCTGACAGACAGTTAGAAATGGTAGGAGCTTCTCTGGTGGTTTGACAAATTTATTGATATCTTAGGAAAGCAGGAGATTCAAATTTTATATTCTTACTTGTAATTATATATAGTTTGTGTTTCTAATTGGTTGAAACTGTAGTATTCAATACATGAAATACAAAGGGGAGAATTTCAAAGCATAGATGCACCATGTGATACACACAAGTGAACATTGAGAATTCGTTTTTATAATTCTTTTGAAATTAAACTTAGATAATATAAAAATATGAATTAAAAGCTAGATTTTTATGCCAAGTTTATTGACGTACATTTATAATAAAGTTATTTAATTAAATTTTGAATGTAACTCTGTAAAAGGTCATGACATGTGCACTCTGACTGTATACATGTTATATGTATCATATCATGTTTTCTACCTATTTTAGTGATAGACATTTTTTAAATTTATCAGTTATTTAGTTTTCATGCTGTAACACATAGTCCAGTTAAAATTACAGTGTTCTAGTTGCTTCATTTCTTTCTTCTCTACATTAGGTGGTGTCTCTTCTGCCCAAGACAGTATTGTAGCCATGGATTCATGATCGGAAAACCGAAGTCTAATAACGAGGATGAAGACAGTTGATAAATTTCAAAACATTTAGGAGGTTGGAATGTTTCAAAGTACACTTACTCCATTTTCATCGAAATCTAAAAATCATATTACAAAGATAAGTATTAACTAAAACTATAATATCATTATTCCTAGTTTACTTATCTATTAAGAGAAATGGTAAATGGAAGGATAAAAACAAAAAGGAGTACAGACATACTGCAAAACAGTTGAGTTTTAAGTTTGTAAATTTAGAATAATTTTAGATCTAAAGAACTTTGAACCACCAGCCAATTTGCACACCGTCCCAAAATTTCCTCCTGTTATCTTCCTCCCTTTTATGGGTTCACAATCCCTTCAAATTAAAAAAACAACTCTCCTCTCTAATTAAAAAACTTCTACACTCAAATTCAGTTCAAACTAATATACAGATCTAGCCTTCACATTAAAAACTTATTTCAATACAAACGTTTGCATTCATGGCTCGTGTATAAATATATGTGTGTTGTGACTGTTGGCAAAACAAGACACCACTTGAAAACTAGAATCCATGAATGTGTAGGAGTAGCTAATAGAACCGACTGTCCACTACTTAAAAACCCAGCCACTCATCCATTTGTCCACATTCTGAAACCATGGGTCACAATATTTCATATAATGATTTCTCCATCATTACCATAGGATTTTAAGACCTTGAACTCTACATTAAAGAAAGTTTACTAGTTAAAGACTGTCTGATTCTTAATGACTCAGAAATTTGTTGTTTAGGAAATTGCATGTAATCTGCATTAAAAAAACCAGTCAGACAGCCATTATTTAACATGTGTTTATACAGAATGGTAATTTGTTTGTGTAAAATAGAATAATTCGAACAAAGATTAAAAATTCTGTTTAATAATGATTTGACCAGATTATGTTTGAAGAAGCTGGGGATAAAATTATTAAAATTGGTGTAGAAGCCAGTAAAAGTTATTTTATGATAAAACAAAGGTATAAAAGTGTTTACTTTCTTTGGTAATCCTGATGTCTAGGAAAGCCAATGAATCATTTTCCTCAAGTTTGGATGTGAACTTGATATTGGGATGTTGGAAATTAAGGTAATAAAGGAACTTAAAAACGTGACTCGATTGTAAAAACAGCAAGAAAGTGTCATCAATATAGCATTTGTAAAGAACAGGTTTGAATTCACGTGAACAGTTTTCTAGCCATTTGTGTCCATGATAGCACAGAAAACTACAGATATAGCTCTATCATCCTACCTATCCATTATGCATTGCTGAACTACAAGCTATTAAAATTCTGTCCAGAAACAAAGACATTGTTGTCACTAAAGCAGACAAACATAATGGTATTGTCATTATGAAAAAAGTTGATTATATTGATAAAATAAACCCTAGCTCAGTGACCCTTGTAAATTCAAAAACTAGATACCAACTTGTTATACCTAACTTTTAAGAGAGAAGATAAGATCCAACATTTTATCAAGACCCTTGAAAGCCAAAATATTATCTCTGAAATGACTTTCAACAAATTGCCCCATGTGGCACTAAACCCGGTAATTGCAGGAGCCTACAGCTGAGAGAATAGGGTGAAGAAGGTATCTAGTTTTGTGCACTTTGGGTTGGCCATACAGAATACTGTAAAGTCATGTTCATTGGCAAAATGAAATGCCTCTTAAAAACTAGTCTGTGAACACTTAAGAGAATCTAACAAAACCAACTGTCCAATACTTAAACCCAGCCACTCATCCATTCATTCACATTATGAAACCATGGGTCCCAAAATTTCTTATAATGATTTCTCTGTCATTACCACAGGATTTTCAGGCCTTGAACTCTACATTAAAGAACGTTTACTCATAGCTAAGGACCACCCAACTGTTAACAACTCACAAAGCTCTTGAGATCTAAAATTATTCGTTTTGCACACTTAAAACTCAACTGTTTTGCAATACGTCTATAATCCTTTGTTTTGTTTTTTATCATTGCGTTTACCATTTCTCTTAACAGCTAGTTAAATTGGCAATTATGATATTATAGTTTTAGTTAATACTTATCTTTGTAACACAAATTTCAGATTTCACTGAAGAAAAAAAAGAGTGTATTCCAAAATGTTCGACCCTTGTAAATAAAATGATTTGTCTTTCATCAACCATCTTCTTCTTCATTAACCCTTTCGCGGCAGGCTTGGTATAATATACACGAGTTACGTACTTAAATTATAACTTTTAATGCAGTAAATGTATCTTCACAAAATTTGGTAGACTTTTAGTAAAGATTACAAGTCTTTCGTACACAAAAAATCAGATTTTTTTAATGAAATATCTTATTATAGATTTGTTTGTGAAAATATCAAGTCTGTTTCATTACCATTTCAAGTGTGAAGTGATTTTCATATTACAACTAAAAACTATTGTTCATCCCAACAACCTCAAATATTGTTTTTGTAATCTCTAAAACCTCCTAAATACATTTCAAATGTTTGTTTTCACTAAAACTTTATATTTTTTCTGTTAATTTCTCTACTCTAACTCTATGGGGTTAATTTGACCGGCCTCATAACCACCATAAAAAAATTAGGAAATAAACTTAAATTATGCTTTTTTCATTTTAGAATGACTACAGATTGTAACACATAAACACAAATGTTTAGTCTAAATAGCTTAAATCTCATAACATTATATGTTTATATGTAATTATTATATTTATTATATTGACCTTCCAGCAATGCCTGGCTAACAATACAGAAGTTACAATGATGCAGAGCACATGCACTCATGATACCGTATCCAATAATATAAAACTGACCTTTAGTCTTTAAAAAGTGACCTGTCTTGGCTGCATTTTAGTGGACTAGCATTTTGTAAAATACAATCTCATAAAGTAAAGTAAACAGTTATCTCTTCTAGTTATGATGATTGTACTCATTTCTGTTTGTCATAGGTTGCTAAGCCTTATGAAGTTTTACCCGTGGAGGATGTGAAAAGAAATTTTTTTTATGTTTTACATGTACATTTTAAATAACCAAAAAAATCAGAAATTACTGTATCGATACTATAGAATTTCACTATAATTTATCAAGTGTAGTAACTAAGCTGTATTTGGGTCTAAAAAAAATAGGAAATTTTGAGGTCACTAAAGACTTACCTTATTCTTTGAAATCTTGTGTGAAAAGAACGA